GAGGTCAGGAGTTCGAGACCAGCCTGACCAACATGGTGAAACCCCATCTCTACCAAAAATACAAAAATCAGGTGGGCGTTGTGGCTGGGATTACAGGTGCCCGCCACAACTGAGGCAGGAGAATCGCTTGAACCTGGGAGGCAGAGGTTGCAGTGAGTCCAGATTGTACCATTGTACTCCAGCCTGGGCGACACGAGCCAAGACTCTGTTTTTTTTTAAAAAAAAGAAGTTTCTAGTTTTGTTGAGTTTATTGCACTTTCCAGTGAGTGTACTTGGTCTCACGGGCCAGGTAACTTCTGCTGTTTCCTGCGAGGGCATCTTTACATGTCTTCCTGGGAAGCAAACTGCACTGTCCTTAGACGGACGCTGCCTCATCCAGGGTGCAAGGCCCTGCTGCCCCGGCCAGGCCAGCGCTGTGGCCTGCAGGGTGTTCCGTGGGTCTGGGGCAGGTCACACGGCAGAGGGAAAGGCCTACAGCTGGCCTTACGACAGGAAGGCTATGGGGACAGAAAGGACAGGGGACTTGAGGATAACGGGCTCCTGAAGGCAGGGGAGGGAGGCAGGAGAGTGTCAGAGAAGCAGTGTTGTGAAGACCTCCATGCCTGCTCTGAGCTGGGGGCACACTGCCCTGCTTGCCCATCCAGCTTTAACCCTGTGGACTGGCAACCCCGGACCAACAGAATAAGAGGCTGTGACTTCAGGCGACTCAAGCCACTCCATGTGTGGTAACAGCTAGAGCTGAAGGCCAGGGTCCCATCCCTGCGCCATCATGACAGGCAGCACCACAGCAAGCCTGGGTGGGTGCGCGGGGAGCCCTCCCGCGGGCCCTGGCCTCTCAGGCCCTCTCCACCGTCAGCATCACGGGCACACACGCACCCGGGACTTGGACTGCCCTGAATTCACGCATCATATTGAGTGGTGACAACCCCATGACAAGCCTGCTTTTGCGTTCGTAAAACTCAAGTCCCCAAGGCCAGTGAGAGCCCGGTTCTGTGGTAGTTTATAAAAAGCAGGGCTTCAAGTGGACTTGCTCCCAGCACAAGAAGAGCCCTGTCCGGCAGTCGAGGGTGGCTGAGAGCACTGGGGACCTTCAGAGGCTGCAAGCGGAGGAAGGCTGAGGTCTGAGAGCCTGGAACAGAGCTGGAATCAACATGTGGAAATGGCAGGAGCCCTTAGGAGGAGCTAGCGGAGGGGCCGGAGGGTGGAGCAGGCAGGGAGCATTTGCACAAGGCCTGGAGGCCCACAGGAGCCCATCGGCATGAGAGAATCAGAGAGATGCTCCTGAAAGGGAGGCCCTGCGGGCCATGGCCAGGTCCTGCCGGTGCTCCTGGGGTCCGTGCATGGGAATGGGGAGGCAGGTGGCCTAGGCATCTCCACCCCCGGGACCAAGGAGGCCCAGACAGGCTGAGACTGGAGCTGGCGCCCGAGGTGTGCGCCGTCGCTCAGGCACAGGCCCCAGGCAGACGGGAAAGGTCCGGTGAGAGCATGTTCTGGCAGGGCGAACGGACGTGGCCTCGGGGCAGGGTTGGCAGGAGCCTGGAGGTGGTCCCACAAGCCCGTCTGCCCACCTCAGGTCAGAGTCCGACAGCCCCAGAAGAGAGGGGAGCCCAGCAAGGCAGGCAGGGCTGGAGCCTCAGGGCCACCTGTGCCTGCTGGTTGGGGGGTTGGGGGTGCTGTGAGGCTGAGCCTCCTTCCGCCAGGCTGGGGCTCGTCCCCCGGACACAGATGCTTCTTTGTCAGGGCAGAGCTGAGCTTGCTGGGCAGCCTCTGGAACAAAGCCCCTCTGTCCGAGCCGTGCCTCCCCACCCGGAGCACCACCGCCCAGGAAGGAGCAGAGCCCCAGGCTCCCATCCGGCGCACCCACCAGGCACAGCCATGGCCGGAGGGGGGGCGGCTGTGCTCCCAGCCCAGGGCTGGGCCCACAGTGGAAGCCTGATGAAGGGGGGTAGGGCCAAGGCAATCCCACTCCAGGGAGGCCTGTGCCACCTCCCCATGGGCCTGCCACTCACTGGTCTAGGGAATGCATGTCCTCCAGCACCTGGCCAGCCCTACACTGGCCACCACGGCCCAGGGGCTCCTCCACACTCCCAGCCCCAAACAGGGAAACCTGAAAGGGTGGCAGAGGGAGGGCCAGCAGCCTCGCCCCACAGGAAAGCCACTACAATTTATTTCCGAGTTCCCTCCAGACCACCAGGCCGGGCCTGTCACGACCTCCTCAGGGGATCGGCCATTCCTGTCCCCAGTGCTGCTGGCCACGGGCCCGGGCTCCAGCAAGAGTCAGCCCAGCCCCAGCCCCTGGACTGAGCATGTGATGTGGGCTCTGTATCTGCATCGTCCCTGTGGCCACCTGGCCTTGGAATCTGCTCCTCCAGGACCCAGCCAGGCTGGGCCAGGGCAGGCTTCCCACATGAGGACCCGTCCACAGGCCCTCAGCGTCCAGGTGGCGGGATCCAGATGAGGCCAGGCAGGGCCCCCGCTAGCCTGGCCAGTTCCTGCCGACACTGTCCCTGTAGTTGACGTAGCACCGCCTCCAGGCAGGCCTCCTGGCTCCTCAGTGTCCTGATCAGCTCAGCTGCCTGCAGGTCCCGGTCGCCTGCTGCCCCATCCTCTCGTCTCACCAGTCGGTGTGGCCCATGGGCCGGGGCTGGGCCACTGTCTTGCTCCCAGCACCGCTGCAGAGCTCCCAGCTCCTTTTCCACAGTCTCCCGAAAGGCCCGCCGCGCGGCACTCCACTCTGGCCCCCGTCCACAGCCTCGAGCCTGCGTGGGAGACAATGGCAGTGGCTGGGGGAGGGGACAGCCCAGACGGCATCCCCTGGGCTGACTCAGGGATGAGGGCGCCGCAGGCATGCAGGAAACACCCATGCTCTTCAGAGAGGCTTACTGAAGATTTTAAGGGGAAAATCATGCTGGCAATTTATGTTAAAATTCCTCAGAAAAAGAAAATAGGTGGAGCCAACGCAGCCCTGTGTTCACAGCCATGAACCTGTGCAGCAGGTAAGAGGGCAGCTCTGTGTGTGGGGTGGAAACCCAGGTGGCCACCAGCAGGTCAGACGGGTTCCAGGCAGGTGTGGAGAAGTGGCCACCACCCTGTGAATGCACGTGTGGCAGAGGCATGGGAGCAGCAGGACCCACACAGCACGGGCTTCCCTCCCTCATGCAAAGAATCAGAGAACAGATCTCCAGCAGGAGGGGCGGGGCCGTCTCGCAGCAGCTGCAGCTCCTCGCCAACTGCCCTCCCGCTCCCTCAGAGTGCGTGCCTGTAAGTGTGTCGCCTGCCATGCTTAATCAGATGCAACTGTAGGATTCAACAAGTCCAAAGCGCACTCAGGTCTGCGGTTCCCCGAAGGTGGGGCTGGGCCAGTGCCCAGAGCGAGGCTGGCACTCACCTTGGCCTCCCAGGCCACCCGCCTGCGCTCCACAGCCTCCCGCAGCTCCTCCTCCAGGGTCTGCAGCTCCCGCACTACCAGCTCCAACTCGCCATCCCCGCACTCAGGGACCCAGGGCAGGAAGGTGGGCTGTGAAGCTGCAGCAGGTGCCTCCGGGGCACAGGTGCCCAGGACTGTGTCCTACAGAGACCCAAGTGAGACAGTGTGCACCAAGCCAAGGGGACAGAGGGACAGAGGGCGGGTTCCACAGCGGGCTGGATGCCACCATCTCAGCAGCCATGACGTCCAGAGAGGCATGAAGGCCACACTCTAGAAGGCCGTGAGGCCGAGGACGGGGGCAGCGGTGGGCCTCCCCTGAAGGTGAGTGGAAATCCTAGAAAGAGCCTATGCTAGGTCTGTGGCCTCCCTAAAAGCCCCTCTTCCTGTCTGGAAAACAGGAAGATCCCCAACTCCCCACCTGGGGGCTGCTGCGGGAAGGGATGCCAGGGCAGGGGTGCGTAGGCTTCCTCACCATCCACTGCCAGAAGACCGGCTCTGCGCGCCGCCACGCCAGGACAGCCTCCAGGCGCCGGCTCTCATGCTCCAGAGTCCGCAGCAGCTGGAAGGCAAATGGCAGCTGGGCTAGAACCTCACACAGGACCCCGTGGACAGACAGTCGGATGGACAGCTGGACCCAGCGCCAACACCCTGCCCCTGCAGCCCTCCCCTGCCTGCACCCAGGTTCTCTGGCCAGAGTGATGAGCAAGGCACCCTGGTGCGGTGCAGACGCCACAGCCCACCTGTCCTTTCTGGAGCACAGGGCAGCCCCATCCAATGCACAGCCAGGCCCTGCCTCTCAGGCAAGAGCTGGCCCTCCCCTCTGAGGACACCCGTTGTCCCCCACACCAGCCCCACTGCCAGTCCAACAGGTGCCTCTCAAGCCTAGACCTCTGCCCCACAGCCCTCACTGAATGGGGGCTGTATCTGGGGACTGCAGGAGGACAGGGAGGCGCCAAACTAAGGAGCAAGCCAGGCTCTCGGGCAGGGAAAACCCATGCCCTGTAACTTCAGGGACTCCCCTAAGTCTGCCTGGTGACCCAGGTCGCAGAAAAGGCAGAGCTGAGCAACACCTGACATTCCCAAGTGAAGGGTCAGGCAGGGCCAGGAGACCCCGCCCTGCCTGCCCCATGGCCCTGCACAAAGGTACCTGCCCACAGTGTGCCCACAGACAGGCGGCTGGACATAGCAGCTGCTCTGCCCACACACAGAAGGCCTCCCAGGTTCACTCATGGGCTATCTGTACCAGTGACCTCAGGCCCTGGGGCAGGGGACCCCTGCTGGGGACAGGCCCTCTACCCCTGAATCCTGCCCCACTCCACCCCTGCTTCCCCCGGGAACCCAGCATGTGGAGCAGGCTGCAGGAGCCTGGGCCTCCAGCACTGGGCTGGGGGGCACATAGGGACGGCCCCGAACACCAGGCCCAACCCAGCCCACCTGGGGCGGAGCACAGCAGAGGCAGACAGGCCCATGGTCAGAGAATATGAGGACAGGCAAGTCTGTGGGCGGCGTGGGAGCTGGAAAAGGCTGGTGCCAGGGGCTGCAGCCCACCTGCCCACCCAGGCAGGCCACGAGAAGAGCAAAGACCTCTACCTTGGGGACAGTCACTTAAACATACCTAACAGAAGGCAATCACCGCAGTTCCCAAGAAGGGCCAGGGGCGGGAGCAGGCAGGAGAGGAGGGGCAAACACGCCCCCTTCCACCCACCCCCGAGTCCTGTGGTCTCCACTGCCCTGCCAGCCTCCCTCCACTTACCACCCTAAGAGGGGAGAGGAGGCTGCAGGCTGAGGCCCCACCAGGATCCAAGGGAGCTGCCCAGTCACCCGGCAACAGGCGTGGTATCAGCCACAGATCATTCCAGAAGGTTCTGGGACCCACCCCAGGAGTGCAGGAGAAGTGCAGGCCCTTTGGGTAGGCCAGGTCCAGGTTGTGGGCGGCTCCCGCTCCAGAGACCTTGGAAGGAAGCTGGGCATGGTCCCAGTCCCCCTGGCCAGTGCCACATGCAGCCTCCAGGAGAGGGCGGGGCCTCACTTCCAGGCCCCCCAGCCCACCACAGAGAGTGGTCCCACAGAGGCACCGGGCAGGAGCAGGCTGGGGCTAAGGCAGCCTCTGCTCCTCCCCAACCCAGGGGTCCCAGGGGCCAGAAGCCTGGGCTTCGCTGAGCCGCCTCTACAAGACAGGTAGGGCAAGGGCAGACCACGACGCCCAGATGCTGCCTCAGCACCACCAACGCCAGTGCAGGCCGACTGGGTGGGCGCCAGCCCGGCTTCAGCCAGGGACACAGGCCCAGCTGGTACTAGCGGCCAGGCAGGCATCAGGGGCTGGGCCCTGTGAGCCCACAAGTGAGGCATGCAATCCCGCAGACTTGGGCTGCAGAGCTGGAACCCACGGGCCCTTGCCACGAACAGGAAGCCCCAGCAGACACAAGACTAGGGGCCAGGAGCCAGGCCATCCGCCTCTGACCCCTGGATCCCCTTGGGCAGGCCTGGGATGAGGTACAGGGGCCAAGTCTCTGGGGTTGGAGAGGAAAGAGGCAGAGAAGGGGGACTGGGCCTGAAAGAAGAGATCACACCAGCCCTAAGCCTCTGCCCTCCTGCCCGGCCATATGCATCTGGAGCAGCAGGGCAGTGTCAGCCCATCACTCAGGACAGCACAGAGCCCAGCCTAAGTGCATGGCTCACGCCTATAATCCCAGCACTCTGGGAGGTCGAGGCAGGTGGATCACCAGAGGTCAGCAGTTTGAGATCAGCCTGGCCAACGTGGCAAAACCCCGTCTCTACTAAAAATACAAAAAAACTAGCCAGATGTGGTGGCAGGTGCCTGTAGTCCCAGCTACTCAGAAGGTTGAGATAGGAAAATCGCTTAAACCCAGGAGGCGGAGATTGCAGTGAGCCGAGACTGTGCCACTGTGTCTAGGTGACAGAGCAAGACTCTGTCTCAAATAAATAAAATAAATAAAAAGAGTGGCAGCCAGCCCTGCTCTTTCTCCTGAAAATAAACCAGACAAGAGAAAGACGCCAGTGATGATGGGCGGGCAGACCCCCAGAAAGAAAGATGGGGATGGAAGGCCAGCAGCAGGGTGAGAGGAAGCGGCCATCCCTGGCGAAGATGCCTGGGGCTAGGTCAACCCTGACATTTTGGTTAGTGCTCCAGTAGCCCCAGTCACAGCAGAACGCTGTCTGCCCAAGGTCACATGGCCACCTGAGGTTCAGAGCCAGGCTTTCCTCCAGGTCCGTGCTATCCAAAGCCCAGGATCTGCCCGGGACCACAGAGACCCCGTCACCTGGGGCAGGCCTGCCTAGAAAGTGCTGTGCCCCCGGGTGGTCCCAGTGTAGCAAGCAGAACGGGGCCTGCAAGTCTCCAGGGCCTAGGCAGCTGGCTCCAGCTTGGCAGGCTCCGCCCAGCACACCCCATGTGGGCCTGGCCTTGGGCTCTGAAGGGTAGTTGTCCCCTCCCAGTCAGCCCTGTGCTGTGTGGGCTAGCCCCCCACACCCCTAGGTGCCCTCTGACACACCAGGTGAGACCTGCTTGAGACGCCAACACCACCAGCTCACACCTGAGGTCCGTGTTCCTTTATCCCAACAGCCTGCCCTCAGCCAGCTGCCAGTGCAACCCAGGCTCCGGCATCCCGGGCCCCCGCCCACGCCACATCTCGATTTGTGGAAGGGAAGGATTAGTGGCCCATGAGGCTAGGAGAGGCCCAGAGAATCTGTCAGTCACACAGTCTGACAATAACCAGTGGCGGACATGCAGAGACACCCACCTCGGGAGGCCCAAGAGCTGCCACACCCCCCACAGGCTGCTCCCACCTTGGGCGGTGCCCCCACTGCCGCTCCCCACCGCCCGCCCAAGCCCATTCTGGAAGCAACTTGCCGGCCCTCACCTTCTGGCCTCCCTCTGGGTCCCTGAGCATCTCCGCTTCAGTGACAGACAGATGGCCAAGGTTCTGGTCGCAGTGGCAACCGCGTGTGTACAGGTGAATCTGAAATAGGCAGTGCAGACCCTGGGCTGAGTGGGAGTCAAGCACCTCCCCCAACACTGAGTCTTCACCACTCCAGGGAGGTCGGCCGTCAGAGCCCACCTCACAGATAACAAGAGAGGGCTCGGAGAAAGCCACTCCTTGCCTGAGGTTGGCGGGGCTGGGCTGGGTGCAGAACAACCATCAGCACCGCTGGGGCCTGCTGAATGGGGGCGCCAGGCAATCTCACTGATGGCCTCCCCACCCCGCCCAGCTCCCAGGCAGGAGCAAGATTGGAGTGGGGTGCCCTGGCTTCCCCAGCAGCGTCAGGGGAACAGCCTCTGGACAGGTACAGCAGTTCAGCCAGACTCACAGTGTGAACATGAACGATTGCTTGGATCTAGGGGAATGGGGAAGGCTCCCCAGCAAAGGGAGGCTGGAAGGTGACACAGAGAGTCACAGGTAGGCACGTAAGCGGAGCAGCTGGTGTCAAGGCCAAGCCTGATGGGGTGAGAGGTCCCTGGAAAGGCCAGCTGAGCAACAGACCCTCTGCAAGGGTGGGAATGGGGGGTCTCCAAGGAGCCCCGCACTGGTGGGAGCCACAGACCCACCTGTCAGCCCTGGCCGCACAGTGGACATGCTGCTGGGTACCTGTGCCCCCGAGCCAGCCCCTACCACCTTCAGGGACCCACAGGAGCTGCCCACCCCACAAGTCAGCCCCCACTAGGATGTGGTGGGAGCAGGGGCTGTCCTCCTCCCCTCCAGTGCCCAGGAAGCAGTGGCTTTCATGGCACAGAGCCCATCCCACTGTTTAGCAACACAGAGCTGGAAGGCCACTGGTGACTTTTGGGAACAAGAAGACAAATTCTGTGAGCTCTCTGACACCAGTTTCTGCCCACCACTGCCCACCCCACTGGGTTCCCTGCCCAACCCTGCCCACCCCATCCTACCCTGGACCCCTGCAAGGACCACCTGGAACCACGGGATCAGGCTCTGGGTAAGCCCAGGGCAGGAAGGCCCACATCCAGTCAAAAGCCTGTGCCGGGCCTCATAGGACAGGCTGTAGGGACTGGCAGCCAGTGGCTTGCAGCACGGGACGCAGCCCCTGGGTGGAAGCCCTGTGCCAGCTCTACCTTGCTCAGGAGGGCGCACTGCTCCTGCTGACTGGACACCAGCTGGCGCCACCGGAACCGCAGCTTTCCCATCAACCACTGCACATGGCGGACATCCACAGGACCCTCTGCTTCCATGTGGGGTGCAGGTGGGCCAAGGCTGGCCAGGGCCTCACACTGGAGAGGAGTATAAGGGTCAGGCCCTGCTCCCACCCCACCCCACCCCCAAGGAAGGACCAGGATGGAGATGGGAGTGAAGGCACAGCCAAGAACAATGGGCGCTCCTTGCACAGGGAATCTCCGTGCTTTCAGCCGGGCAGCTGGGTAACCCCTCATAGAACTGCCCGGAGGGGCAAAGCAGACACAGAGAGGACTGTCCCAGGCCTGCCCTTGCTCTGACCCCAGGAGTTGAGACCAGAGCTGGCTTGGCTTACCCTCACCCACACGGACCTGGCACACAGTCATCTCGTCACCCAGAGGCACTCGGGTCTGGGCCAGCATCTGCTCAGGCACAGGTCCTCGGGCCAAGAGCCAGGACAGAGCCAGCAGCAGCTCCCGGCTGCCCTGCGAGCCATCCTCAGGTAGTTGTGCCAGTGCCAGCCTCGGGTAGCCCTGGGAGCACAGTGCTGACTTCACCAAGCGGGCTTGGACCTCTAGAACAGAAGAGCACCACCTTAGGGGGACCACCTGCCTGGAGGTGACACCACCTGGATCCCTCCAGAGATCCCCACAGGTCACTCGAGCAGAAGCTCAAGACCTAGTTCAGAAGAGATGATGGTGGGAAAGCTGGAACTCAGACCAAGATGAGGAGACCAGAGCTCAACGGGGACGTCCCCAAGGCTTTGTACGAGTAAAAGCCGGTGCTACCCAAGGGAGTGGAGCTAGGGCCCGTCAGGGGGCGCGGCTTACTGGGGAAGCTGGAGCTTTGAGCGGCAGGCGGGGTCAGTGTTACCGGGTTGGGTGGGGGCTAGAGCCCGTCGGGGCGTGACTTACTGGGGAAGGCGGGGCTTTACCGGCGCAGGCGGGGCCAGGAGCCGGGCTTACCCAGGGCAATCGAGGCCAAGGCGTTGCCCGCAGGGAGTGGGGAGAGCACGCGGAAGAGGAGCTGCCAGAGCGCGCAGGTCTGCGAAAATAAAAAGCGGGCGGTCAGCGGAGCCGGCTCAACTCCCTGCGAGGGCCCGGGACCCCACCCGGCCCGGCTGCCCT